CTCTCTCTCTCTCCTCCTCCTCCTCTCTCTCTCCCTCTCTCTCTTCATCTCCCTCTCCCTCCTCCTCCCCCCTAACCTAGCATCAGTCACAAATTTCTTTCTGTCTTGTTGCAGGGAGAACTCAAGCTTCCCTCAGCCTCTGAGATGAAGAGAGAAATTGACGATGCCTACAAAGCTATGCGTAAGCGTTACGTGGACACAGCCCGGCACACCATACAGGTCAGCACTATAGCGCTTGGTTTCTATTCACGATGAGAAAAAAAAGAAATTTTAATGTGTGGCATCGAGCTAAAATCAGGCTCTCGTCTAAAAGTTGTGAAATCCAAAAAGAACAGCACTTTTTTCACCCCCTGGATAACTTTTAAAAAATGACTCTAGATCTTTACCTTATACGTCCATTTGAAAGAAAAACATTTCTGTAGGGACGTTACTGAAAAACGTTTATTTAAGGTACAAAAATGTCAATTTTCAGTTTCCATGAACTTTCAAACTATGGAAGTCACCAAACTTTGGCGGCCATTTTCAAGCTAATGTTACCTGTAAAGCCAGGTGACCCCTCCCCCCAACCAATCTCCTTCGGTTGTATGTTATACCTCGACTTCCATTCTAATTCTACGAGTATGTAGATATTTATTTCATTGAAGGCAAGATAAATGAATAAGCTTTAAAGATGATACCAATAACTCCACATGCCCAAGAATCAGATTCCACCGCGTCGTGACACAAATGTTAACACCATTGGATAAGATGCACCGGAGTCTGTGGTATAGTGCTTAGGCGCTTTACTGTCAATAGAAGGAGAAGGGCGTTCGATTCCTGAGAAAGGAGAAAAATGCTATCGAGTATCTCGGTTTTTTTGCAGGGATAGTGTAACCCTCACCTCTCAGCCTGGATTGGCCCTGGCAGGCACGGCCGGAAGCCCGCCTCCTAAAAGTAAAAGATCTAAATTGTGTTAAGCAGGGTTTAAAATCGCCTCAGTAAGGAAGATAATATGTGATAAGGTAAGACAAGATAAGGTAAAAATAAAGCCTTGCTCTGCTATTACTGATAAGTATTAAGTTTAAATGAGTGTTTTATACATGTAGGTGTTTTATGCCCCTCCCGCCCCCTCCCCCGCCTCCCAAACCTCTAATAAAAAAAACCGTCTATTGTTTGTCTCACACTATCTTCCAGTCTTCGTTTTTAAGATTGGCAATTATTTAAAAGTATGATTTTGCACTATTGGATAGCAACGGTTGTCTTTAAAACAATAACACCGATAAAAGTTACTACCTATTTGCCACTGTGAGTGTATGGTATACGATGTGTCATAATATTATTTTTTCCTCTGCTCACCTGTAGGTTGACTGGTTGCCCTTCATGGACGAACTTGCTGAAATGGTGGGATGTAAGCCGAACCTATGTGAGTAACTTGGTTGAGTGGGGCTTTGTGTGCGAGTCAGTGTTCATTATACAATTCCTAGATGCTGTTAGTACTACTTTGTAGGCCTACGTGTATGTGCACGTCGGGTTCGTGTGTATGTTCGTGTGTGTGTGTGTGTGTGTGTG